AGGGTGCAAGATTGCATCTTCTCCACTGTGCAAAACTAGCAAGCAAGTTATTGCTGGCCCCGTGGATGTTATCTTAGCCCTAAAACGGGTAAACCCCATGGGGAAAGAGTTCCAGTACCAGTGGCTGGCAGAGCTCCCGCTGCTGTGAAAAATGTTCCAGTGAGTGCAATGGTAAACAGCCCACAGGAGCAGCTCCATTTCCCCAATGATTACAGCTTTGTAACCTTCTTCCTTTTTTTTGGGTTTTTTTTTTTTTTTTTGAATGGAGGAAAAGACTGTCTTGTTTTCCTTCATCATCTCCCCACCTCCATCAGAATGCTTCAAAAATTCACATGAACTCTCCCATCTACTGCTCAGACATAAACAGTGCCAGCCTGCGTGTCACTGCTTCTACTTAATTCTGGAATTTTCTTTGCATGCAAAGGATTAGCCTGGATGCTAGTCATCATGAAATGTGTTTTTCCTTCTATGTACATAGGGATTTAGAGCGTGTAACTTTGAATTATTTGCAGCTATATATACACATGTGCAAAGAAATCTCCCCTACACCACAGCAACATACAGTACATGAGAGTGTAAGCAGAGGCAGCCTCAAAGGAACCAGTTCCAGTCCCTGAAAACAGATATAACTCTTCTGTTCCAATGATTTTTTTCCTTTTTTGCAAATATATAGAACACATGTTTTCAGATCTCCAAGTTTCATTCCTGTCTATCTGAAAATTCAACAGTTTGTGTAACCAAACATGAATATCATCAAAGCCTCTGTCGGATACCCAGACAACGTCCACTCCTTGAGTAATGATTCGTGTCTTATACTTTCCATCCTCTCCTCATCTTTACAACAAAACAAGAGGCAGAAAAGCAGGCAACAGACACAAATACTGACAGTCTCAATTAAAGGGCAGAAGCATGAGCATGACAGTAAAATGGTAATTTTTCCTTCTAATAAAAAGTGATTCTGTATTCTGTCTCCAAACCAGCATCTGGACAAACTAGAGAAGTGGGTACATAAGAACTAAATGGTTCAACAAATCCAAGTGCAAAGTCCTGCACCTGGCTCAGGGCAATCCCAGACATGGGTACTGAATGCGAGAACTCCCTGAGAGCTGCTCTGCCAAAAAGGACTTGGGGGTTCTCGAGGATGAAAGCTTGGACATGAGTGGACAGCATCAGCACTTGCAGGCCAAAATGCCAATCATACCCTGGGCTGCATCTAAAGCAAAGTGGGCAGGAGATCAAGGGAGGGGAATCTGCCCCTCTCGTCTGCTGAGACCCCCACCTGGAATTCTGAATCCAGCCCTGGGGTCCTGGGCACAGGAAGCAGATGGCCCTGCTAGAGAACATCTAGAGAAGGGCCACAGAGATGATCAGAGGGCTGGAACAACTCTCCTCCAAAGACAGGCTGAGAGAGCTGGGATTGTTCTGCCTGGAAAGGGGAAGGCTCCAGGAACACATCAGTGTGGCATTCCAGTACCTAAAAGGGGTCCATAAAAGAAGGAAAAGTAATTTTTACACAGGCAGATAGTGATAGAACAAGCGGAATGGTTTTAAACTAGAAGAGGGGAGACTTACATCAGGTGCTAGGAATAAATTCTTTCCTCAGAGGGGTAGTGAGACATTGGAACAGACTGCCTAGAGAAGCTGTGGATGTCTCATCCTTGGAAGGCCAGGTTGGATAGGACTCTGAACAACCTGGTCTAGTGGAAGGTGTCCCTGCCCACGGCAGGTAGGTTGAAACTAGATGGTCTTCAAGGTCCCTTCCAGCCCAAGCCATTCTAGGATTCTATGCTCTTCTGTCTCTCCTTACAACAAAAAGCATATATAACAAGTACCCATGATGGCCGTGTCTACAACAAGCTCAGGAAATACACAGGAAGAAAGTCCATGCAGGAACCATTTAGAAGAGACACAGAGCGATTACTGAACACTATTTTCTCACTGATCAGCACAAAGTTATTTGGCACAAACATCTCTGTAAATGTTTGTCCAAGACTAGGTAAATTTGCAGTGTCCGATGGCCCTCAGACCTGTGCTTCTGTCAAGTGAGAAGGCTCATAGTCTAGCACTGGAGCTCAGTTATGCTTCAGCAGAAATACAGAATGCTAGAGGCTGAGCTTAGTATCACTGCTGTCTTTCCCCCTGGATCTGTTCTTTCTTGTTTTGTTTAATGTTCCTCTTTGCAAATCAGAAGATTAGTTTTCAAATGGAATGAATGTAAGACCAGTTGTGAAGTGCATTATACTGGGCTCTGCTTTGGCATGGAGAAACCAGAGGAAGAGGAGGGAACTGTACCCAGCTCTGGGCAAGTACCAGAGGAAAAGCACAGCTCCAGAATCACTCTCAGCCTCACAAAGCTGAAGGCAATATCTGTTTTAGGATATGCAAGGAGATCTGATGGGCTCAATTCACAGTGACACTGGCAGCCTGCCACAGTATTTTGTTCACGTGGGCCTGAGATATCCATGGGCCCAGAGCTGTAATTATGGTCTCAGATATCACAGTACTACTAGCCCAGGAGATATTTATGCATCTGATATGTACAACCTAAAGGCACTGTGAAGTTTCAGGCACATTCAAGAAAAATCTCCACTGCAGAAGGGAGACAGCAAGTCTTCAGGAGTTCTTTTGAGGTACATCAAAGCAACACACTCCACTGGATCTCACCACTGAAAGTCACTGAAAGGTCTGAACAGGGCGAACTGCAGGCACAGGGCTCAGGCTCACACCACAGATTTTATCAGAGGCATACTAATGAGCTGAGAACCAGGTTAAGCATTAGCACTGCTTGTTTCCCTGTGAAGTAGCTTGCTGCTTCTCACAGTTGCATTTTAAACTCACAATAATAATATGGACAAAGTACATGCTTTCCTCCACCAAAAAGGGAAAGGCCAGACAACCACTTCCACACTATTTATTTCTACAAAGCTTATGAAGCATTTAGAGAATAGAGTGCAATCCAAGAACCTAGCTGGAGAGAAAAAACTCCATATTGTTTGCTATTTACACTAACTTTTCCCCCAAAGCATACTATCACAGAAACAGAACCACCAAAATGTCACATCTGTGGGAAAGACACCCATGATCACACCAGTGAGGTGCATGCAGAATACACTTCAGCATAGGGAACAGAAACTATACCAGGTTGCCAAATGCTAGTTCAACATGAAACCTAGGGAGGTTTCTGGGTCCTTGTGTGAGCAGACAGGACTTTGTGTGAAATACCCCCATCAGACAGTAAGAGAGAAGATGGGAGAAGAGGAGTCTGATTCTCATCATATTGGCTTGGCTCTGGAGTAGCTCTGGTTTATTTTGAAAGAATGCCTCCACTTCACTACAGCTTTAGACACTCTGCAAACACACACTTCTCCATCCATAATCTGAAGCATTACTTTCAGCAGCATAACTGCAGCCATGCCCTTACCAATGTGCAGTACTTTCTCCAAAATAGCTTACATTCATTGATTTCAGCCACTTTCATGTTAAAGCAACAACCCAAACACCCACTCACATTCAGGCATAGACAAATCCTGTACAGGACAAGAGTCAGGACAATATATTTGTTTCGAAAAATATTTAAGGACAGGATTTTGAAACCTCTGTTTCCATTAATATTGGAACCCTCCAAACCCAGTGCCTGCCCTTAGCTGAGTCCACTTGCCCTTCAGGCTGAGGGCAGCCAAACGTATCAGATTGCCCTGCCTGCTCACAGGCAGCTGGAAAGCTGCATGGGGGCATTTCAGTCACAGCCTGTATCTCTGCTAAAATTTACTTCTTTAAAGCATTCACTGTCTGTTGACCAAGAGGATTCAAAGTCACCCTGTAATGCTTCCTTTACTATAGTAATTCTAAATATTTTACAACTTACAGTGCTCTCTGAAGGAAGACATTTGATATTGCTGTATGCAGTTAGGGAGCAGAGTGCTTCTGTATTACAGAAAATACAGATCTTTAAAATAAACTAGCCTGAAACATCTTCATTACTAAAGCTGCTTTGCACTGAGAAAGCCTTATGATGAGAAAGCAGTGCAAACACTCCAGTAAATGCAGTTGTCTATTCTTGGTGCCAAAAAAATTTTAAATGCAAACTAGAGAAGTATGATATATTTTGTATGTGCTTACATAAACCACATAACCCTAAACCCTGAGCAGATTAGAAGTGTACATTAACACGGATTAGAAGTTAACACTTGCAATACAGATGAACATATTTTTTCTTTCCTGAGACCAGCTGCATGAGACTCTAGCAGAAGAAATGCCTTTAAATCAGGAGGAAGTATCAGCATTTTAAACTCAGGCTTTCTCCAGCTTAATCCGGTATTTTTTATGTGTGAAAGAAGTTCTTCTATTTAAACTAAAACATACTGACTGTATGCCATTTTAGCAATTGCCTTCCACACAGATAGATCCTAATACTGCAGCATTTTTAAACACTTCACACAGCTATTTCTCCAAAAGTTACACTGACAAGAGACATTTCACCCTTTTTGGGAAGTACTTGATGTCTATTTATTTTCAGCCTTTAACAGTCAGGACACCAAGGTTTCCTTCTGCCTCACTGCCTCAGCTCTAAGCACCAGATAGTTTTATTTTAGCCAAACCACAAATAACATTTATTTTAGCTATTTAATCATTCTAGTCCTTACCTCCTAAAAAAAAAAAAATAAATAAAAATTTTAAAAAGGCTTTTCCACTCTCTTCCATTAGAAGCTAATGCTGGCTTTCTAGTCTTTTAGGGTATCCTTTGCTCTTAAGGAGAAAAACCAGACAGAAAGCTGTATTCCAACATACCTTGAGAGGCGAGCAGCACTCGCCGCCAGCGGTGTGACTTTTCAGCGGCTGCCCTCGGACTCCGGCATTCCCAAGAACCACGATGTCACAGAGCCCCGCAGCTCGCCGTGAGGAGCGCAGCAGATTGCTCCCACACGCCCTTCCTCTTCCCTGGCTGGCTGACAGCTCAACACTTTTAAGGGCAGCAGCAGGACTCGTCTCCCAGCCCCTCGGCCGCTCCGAGAAATCATCCCCTCCCTGCTATTAAGTGCACGCTGCCATTGCACCTTAATCGCGCGTCACAGCTCGTATGCAGTAGCTGTGGGAAAGCTGCATTTATTTGTACAGGAAGCTTGAGAACAGCACTTCCTACTTCCCATCCGAGACTCAATTCAACTGCAGGTGATTACTTAAACCCTGTCAGCTCCCAGCCCATGCACACCCTTACGTTCCCATTTGGGTCTCTGTGCAGCTTTTAGCCACGACTCCCATCCGAGCCCTGACGAGGTAAAACTGAAAGCAGCAAGGCTTTAGATGTGACACTCATCAGAGCCCTCCCAAACTGACCTGTTTGCATAGCAGCTGATGTCTGAAACCTTGCTGGCTTCTGCTTGTGAAAAAATGTCATCTAAAAAGAAAAAAACAAAGTGATGTCTTCACGTTGGAGGGGAAGGGAGCAAAAAATCTGAACTCAAAAGTAAAGTACCCGTGTAATTTCAGATCTGAGTGTTTAATGATGATGGTGTCATCTTATTCTGTCAATGCTAAAATTTCACTCTTTAAGCTTTCCCTGCGAGCAGGAGGGGTTGGGAATCCTGCAGTTCCGTATTCCAGACCAAAGGGTGTGATTCACAGCAGCCAAGTAGCAGGAGAATATCTAATTGTGCCACATGACACCAAACCCTCAAGAACTTTTCCTGCTGTAGGAAATGCACCACACCCACAGATAAGAAATATAGATATATCAGAGTGCAGAGGGTGCAGAAAAACAGAAGTATGAATGTTAATCTACAATTTTCTTATGACAAAATAAATTTACTTTGTACTTCATGCAATCGTTGCTGGCATTTTGCCTGCAGTACTTTCCTGTGAAAAATTATATATAGCCATTTCTTCTGGGGTGTATAAAAGCTCACAGCTGAGCTTTTAGCTCTTTTCAGACAATTATACTGCATCAGATGAATTTAAGAAAAAAAAAAAAAAGAAGCTTGTGCAACTTTAATTCAGCCTCCTTGCTGAATTACTTCTTTATATTACAGCTTTGCTGGAATTGCCATCATATACTCTTTTCCTCAGAATAAGGACAAACTTAGAATTTAACTATTTAACATTGGGTGCTTGATACAATCTTAGATATAGTTATATAATATATATATATAATTTATATAATTTTATATATACAAATTTTTAATATATTTATATATATTTAGGGAAGGAGGGACGGAGGGAATAATAACAAAATAACAATAATAACAAAATAACAATAATAACAAAAATAGCTGCTCCAACATGTGGAATCTTGTTGAGCCCTATGGTGTTCATCATCGGGGTTACAATGAGATTAGGTAAACTAGAGCCATATCACATATACTGCCACTTGAGCTAGCAGAGCATTTCCCAGCAGAAGCAGATGTATTATATTCTCAGCAGTGGCCAATCCTAGACAAGACTCAAGAAACACTGAGGGCTCAGAGTTATGTTTTTAGGCTCTAGAGCAGTACTGAAAATATGGAATTCTTTGGAAAACTTTATGAGTAGAAAATTATTCTCCTTCTGTGCTTAGATTTTTATCCTCCATGTTCTGTTCTAGTATGAAATAGCTTGAGCCTCTACCACTACTCTCTTCACCACCTTCCCTCTGCTTCCAGCTCCTGTATTTTCTTCCTGCAGCTGCCCCCTTTGCTACTCTTCCTTCATCACACAAGTACTTGATTTGCCACAGATGAAGCTCAGCAAGAAAACTCCTCCTGTTCTCAGCCCCCGTGCTTAGCACCACAGCACTTGAACAGCAAAAGGCAATTATCTCAAGGAGGAGAGTGGTGAGTGAGGGAGGATGAAGGAAATTAAGTCATTCATGCAGGTGTAGGGAAAATGGTAGGGTGGTAAATTCAGAAGCAGAGCAGAGCAGGGCAGCTGCTAATAACAGACTAGTAAAGGTAGCATCTTGTTTGGTACTTACTCCTTGCTGGTGCAACAAAACAAAAAGAAACTTCACTGAAGCAGCCTCCAACAGTGAAGAGACAGAACTACAAAAAAGAATAGTCATCTTTCCTTCAGATAAATTATAAGGCCAGCTTGTAACTATGGGGGGGTGTTCTTTTAAGCTATGAAAACTAGATTTAGTACATTAAAATGCACAAAAATTCTGGAAACTTCAGCAAAAAAACATCCCATCATATTTGTATCCCATTTCCTATTGTCTCCATGCAAGTTATAATGTGATTGCATAAATGTGCAAAACTGCTTACAACAAAATTATTTTCCCTTAGACATCACATAATTGGTGAGAAAAATTATGCACGTTTCTCAAGACATTTAATTAACTGGAAATGTTAATATATGCTTGTTCCAAGCACTCTACTGCTTGGGTATCAAATCCTAAACTGTGGGGCCTGGATTTACATTCCAATCACTTACTGATGCTCTTTGGACAGCTGTCTATACCCCTGCTTCCATCTTCTCTTCAGTATTTGCCCCTGCTTTTGTGCTTATCCAGGATGTCCACAGCAAAGAGTAGCCGAAGGTGATGTGACACTGTGCAGGAGCTCAGGCTATAAGGACTTGAGATGATCAATACTGATGATTCTTGCAATTGTCATCACTAAAAGACGTGAGCTGGACTTTTATGAGCTCTTCTGTCAAAATGATTTCTCTTCCAGCTACACCTCGAGCCCAGGTACTTCACAGTTTCACAGAAGCACATCTTCTCGGCAAGCTAATTTTGTGAAGTGTTATGAGTCATGCTAAAATTGCTACCCAGCTCAAGTCCCTGAATCTCTAAACCCAGATTGATTGGTTTCCTTTATGAGCCAACAAAAAAAAAAAAAAAAAAAAAAAAAAAAAAAAAAAAAAAAAAAAAAAAAAAAAAAAAAAAAGAAAAAAAAGTAAAAAAAAAAAAAAAGTTCACATTGTCACACAATTCCAGACAAGGCACAAGCTAAGTTCTCTACTTTTGCTTCTTGGATAGCAGTGATATAAAGCACAAAACTGAGAGGATCTAATTAAATTTTTGGACACTCTTAACAGATGCTTTTATACCTCCAGCCTGGGGGAATAGCTGAGCCTTTGAGATGTCAAAATGCAGTATCGCTGGAAACTTTTAGTTGAGTTACTAGCCAGAATAAGAATAAAGGCTGGCATAGTTAATTACTAACATGACTGTGTCATCCTTGCAGTGACTTGAAATACTTCAGAAATGACTAAACCACTCTGCATTAACTGAAATTACTAATTAATTTTTGACATAGATGGGTAAAGAATAGCGTGACCAGTGAAAAGATTGCTCACATCCCACAAACAAAATACCATTAAGAGCAAGTGAAAACACTGAGTTAGTGTATAACTAACAGTTTCATTGTAATTAGACATAAAGAAATAGGACTAACTTATGAGGGAAAAAAATAAACTTTCACTACCCTGTTGTGCAGTTTTCAACTAACAAAAAGCAAATACCCTGAAAAGCAATATCTATTCATAGGTGTAATATAAAAAACAGGTTTTATAACAAGCTTTTTAAAATCAGAGCATAACTAAAATAAAATTAGTCTTTAAACATTTTACTTAGTGAACATGCAAATAATCCATTTCCCTATGGAAAATGAAAGTATTTGTCAATGTAAGAGAGACAGTTTCATAACAAAAATAGATGCTAATGAGTAATATAACCAATGCTGAAAATAAAACAGGAAGGGGTTTTGCACAGGGAGTATACATATATTATCTGAAGTTGCAAGTGTGACGCCCCTGATGTCATGGACTATTAATAGCTATCTTTAACGAGAACTCTTTTAAAGGGGGATTACACCATCAAAAGTAATTTTTAGTACCGTCATAAACCAAATTTTTAAAAAGGAATCTCTGTTCCATATATGTATTTGTACAATCACACAATGTTAGAAATTGGATGTCAGTGCAGAAAAATACAGAGCCTGTGTAACATTTTGCATGCAGATAAGCTGTAATCAGTATAGCTATAAGAAAATCAGGACCACATATTTTCCTGTTTAAATAACCCTATTGTTCTACAGTTCTGACTTGGTATGCGAGTCACTCACTGACAAACCAGGCTTGAAATCTTCATTAATTCCTTTAGCTAAAACATAAAACTTTATTATAAGGAGCTTTCTATTGGAGTGAAATAAATCAAGTTAAATTATTTCAAAAGAATAGTAGGTTCAGTGTAAAGAGCTTTTTATTTTACAGTAAAAAAGGGAGTGGAATGGCACAGTGTCTACTGAACATTTATGATTATGATCTCAAAATATGTGGATTTGTCTCAGACAAAAAGAAAAGTGGTAGGTGACTTACACACATCCTGCTCCTACAAACAAAGCAAAATGCAATATTCATTAAACTTTGTTGGCATAGTGGACCATCTCCAAACAAAATCATATGGCTTCTATAAGTTCTATATTTCTTCTCCACCTGTAACTTTTCCAGTGTTTATACTTTAACCTATCTTTTGCTATTTGATCCATACAGAACCATGCTAGAGGAAAAAAAAATAAAATAGAGCCTCAGCAGAAAGCCATGAGAAGTCAGCCTGCTACCCCAGTGGGTGGGTTTCAGGTACTTGCAAATCTCAGCTTAAAGATCCAGGCCAATAGCTTTGACAGGGTATTACCGGAATTTCAGTGCGAACTTGTCTTCTTGGGACCTGGAAGCATTGAGACAAAGTGTACTTGCCCATAGCAAAACCTGCTGGTGGCAGAGCTCTACTGGCAATACCATCAGGAGTGGCATTTTACCACTGGCAACCAAACAGCTCAGCAACAGCTCTACAGAAACTTTTGCTTCGGCTAACTCCTTCCTGCTCACTAAGTGTATGAAGAGCCAGCCCGCAAGAAGGAAGCAAGCTAGGTTTCAATGAGCCTGCCATAAATAAGACACTGACGAGCTGCCACTGAACAGCAGATGTCCAGCCCAGGAGCAGCCAGAGCAGCACCCTCAGCCCAGGGCATGTCCTCAGCCACCTCCTTCACTCCAGACGCAGGGAAGAGGCAGGCAGGCTTCTGTCACACTCCCCCTTGACCTTCTCCTGTGACATGAGGCATGCCAGCCATCGTCTTGCAAGGCAGTTCTGTTCCTCCCCAGCTGCACAGTGATCATCAATGAGGTGACAGCACTGCTTCTGGAGACACTGTCACTGACCACTGCCACCCTGCACAAGCAGGTCCAGTTCCCCAGCTGGACAGCACATAGAGCTCCCCCCAAACCAGCACCACCTCATGAACTGATGATAAAAAATATAATGAAACAAACAGTTTGCTTTGCTCTCATGTTCATGTGTTACACATACAGAGGCGGAGTTGATCATTTCTTGTGGGCATAAGATACCAGGTGAAACTCTCTAGCTGTGAAAAGAGACATTTATAAAGCAGCATCAAAGGAACCATACTAAATACACATGAAAGAGGAGACACTGAAGTTGTCCTCTTCTCCTGCCTTCTCTTAAAGTTAGCACACATTTTTAACAAGAGAACATGTATATATATAACAAGTTTGTATGGGGATAACTTAAGGCTCAGATAAATTAATTTATTTTCTATTAGCTGAGCTTACAGCTAACTTCAGGGCATGGCACAGACTATCAATCTTGCACAGATATTTTTCTTCCTTTTGATTGTCTGCCCAAAATGACACATTCCATTGACTTTTAACAAAGTGTTTTGGTAATGTGCCTGGAATTTCAGTTATTTCAGACATCAGAATCACCATCACTTTAAAAATTGAGAGGGGGAAAACCATCCTGGTTGATTGCACAGGAAGCTTCCCCTGTAACAGAGGAGGTCATCAACCTGTCCTTGTCATGAGATAAAAATGTGCACTGTTTTCATGTCTCTCATTCTACTGTGCTTTCTGTCCTGCCTCAAGCTCTCAACTGCTTTTTTGGAAATATTAGGAGACAGCTTCATTCCTTCCAACCCAAGACAGTCTCCTAGGTGATGGCTTTGCCTTAGCTTTATGAGACTCTATCCACAGGTTTAAAAGACAAGTACAATTTGAAGGGAAGGGTGGCAGGGGGCACCTAATAATATGTTTCAGCCCAGACCTTGTTATTTTAACTAACTTCTAAAGTCAAGGATGGGCAGGTCAGAGATGAGACAGAGCTGAGGTACTTAATTTTATGGTTATAAAAACCAACAATAGGACTTTCACAGACATCTGGCAAGAAGGACCAAGGTGTGGAGCTAATATATCCCTCTGATTCAAAACTTTTCTTTAGTATTTAAGTATGACACACTTAGCCTTTGGCTAATTTAGGGTGAGAAATAGTTTCCAAGAGGGGTTGCAGAGGGGTTACTCCAATGGACTGGCTATGCAGGGAAATAATGGAGCTGAAACATACCCATAAGGAACACCAAGAACTTGTCCCTGTGTCCCAGCATCCCTCTCCTTACTGAACTTCCAGGGAGGGTCTCCATGCTATTCCCCTCCCCTTTTGCAGTCTCCTTTCCTTACCAGAATTTACATCTCACCCATTTCTGATGAGACCAGATATGAAAAGGTTTGTCCAGATCCACTTTTGTCTCTATGGAATTTAACCATATGGTCAGATAACACAACTAATAGTTTCTAAGGATTTCAGCCTCTCAGCAAACCACAGCAGGACTGTTTGAGTGAGCCTATCTTCTCCCCTGCTGCTTTAGGCTGGCCACCTTTGTAATGGCAGCATCCAAAAAGGACACAGTACCACCTCACAGATGAGAAGCAGCAACATGTTAAAACACATGCAACTGTTTGCTGGTGGCATTCTTATCACATCACAGCTGCAGTAACAAAATCCAAGATTGCTTCACATTCCAGTTTCTCGTTAGAATAGTGATGAAACTTTTTTCCCTCCTCTGTTCAGAGCAGAGCAGACAGCAATTACAGCAACTTCCTTGAAAGGACACCTTTAACATGCACCACCTAGCAAGCAGTTGTTAAATTCAACAATCCCAAAATTAGGATAGTGGGAACTCAAAGCCAAGCACATTGCTTGCTTGCTGCAAGTGATCCAAGGATTTATTCAGTTACACTGAAATAATTTGGGAGGGGTTTACTTAATGTTTTTTTTTATTTTGTATTGGTTACGATCATCTGCCAAGTAACTTCATTAAAAATAGGTGCTTTAACCTAGTAATTTGTTTAAGACTCTTATAAAATTAAGGATATCCAGTTGGGCAGAGAGAATCTCTAGGAAAAGAAACCTGAGTTTTACAATACTGATATCTTGTAAAGAAAAGGGGCAGAAGGGCAAGAGGTATAACAAAATCTTTGGTTTTCCAAACACTGCAAAAATCCAAGCAAATAGTGTTTTCTGCTTCAGTACTCTCTGCGGTCATTGAAGAAATGACAAGTGTGAACTCATCTTTTTGTTAAGCTTGACTTCATCTTTGAAAAGCCCCCGGCTCCATTTAACTGCCCTGTACTCACTAGGAAGAAGTCTAAACAGGTCAAGTATTTTCTCAAGGTTTTGATTTTGTACATGTATATATATTTCCTGGGATATGACAAAACACAGTCATGGCAAAATGCATCAATAAATCTATTCCCACAGAGAATTACTTTGCATTATACAATACAAACAAAGATTTAAAGTGTGAACTCTGAATTTTTAGTTTCCATGGGTTCTATCTTACAAGGTGAAGAAATCTGTTCAGTGACCTCTGACTGTGAGCAAATTTTTCTAAACTAGATTTTCCCTAGGATAACTCTCTACATGCTTGCAATTTGCATGTCTTGGGAACAGCAATATCCTAAATCACAGGGAATTGAAATGCTGCATTGTGGAAGAAGAGAAGGAGACTTTAGACAAAAGGAGAAACAACTGGCCTACTTGCAAGGAAGAAGTCCTGACACCTCTCTCACTTACCAAATGAGCAAAGCTAGGTCAGACCCCACCTGCAGAAGGCAGATGGGAAGAAACTTCCAGGATCTTGAAATCTGCCAAGGAAGCTTTAGAGAACATGAAGTTTAAGGAGGAACTTAACACCAAGTTCAAGGAAGGTCTGGTGGATGAGAGGCTGGACATGACCAGCAAAGTACACTTGCAGCCCAGAAAGCCAATTGTACACAGGGCTGCGTAACAGGAGCCATGGCCAGCAGTGTGAGGAAAGGGATTCCCCCCTTCTCTGCTCTCATGAGACTCCACCTGGAGTGATGCTTGCTCTTCTCAGGGCACACACACAAGAAGGCCATGGACCTGCTGGAGTGAGTTCAGTAGAAGACCACAAAGATGATCAGAGGGCTGGAGCACACCTCCTGCAAAGGCAGACTGAGAGAACTGGAGTTTTTCAGCCTGGAGAAAGGTCCAGGGAGACCTTATAGCACTTTCCAGGGACCTACACGAGAGCTAGGGAGAAACATTTTACAAAGGCGAGTAGTGACAGGTCAAGGGGGAATGGCTTTAAACTGAGCATCACTTTAGATTAGATATTAGGAACTGAGGGTGGTAAAACCCTGGAATACATTGCCTAGCAAGACAGTGGATGCCCTGTTCCTGCAAATGTTCTAGGTCAGGTTTGACGTGGCTCTGAGAGATCTCATCCAGTTGAAGAAGTCCCTGCTCATTGCAGGGGAGTTGCACTAGACAGGTCCCTTCAACCCGAAATGTCCCATGGTTCTGACAGAGGCCAAAGGCAGGGAAACCATTTGACTCTCCTGAATATAAAATTAACAGCATGAAGAGACTAAGCAAAACACTCTCCAGTCTTTCTGGTTTTAGTTCAGGAATAGAGTACATTTGCTATACAGAAAAAAGAGCAAGTGAAAGGGAAGAAGAATCATGTACACCTACAGAATATTTCTAACACTGCATGAAAAAACACAAAGACCTTTTAGCTTTGTATATCTTCATGGCTTTTTGAACAACATAAACAAAAAGATGACAAACAGCACTTCCCAACAGCCCTGCAGAGAACAAACTCAGTGTCAGAATCCAGACATGTAGCATCCCCATTGGTGATCACAAACATCTCACCAGTCTCTGGGTGTCCCAGGGAGCAAGCTGCCAGAGGCTTCAGCTAGGAAAGCAGCATGAAGCACCTCTCTGGGCTGAAAAATTGGAACAGATAGGCTGCTTCCTACTGAGCAAACCTCAGAGTAATTATACAGCACAACTTGGTGAGAACCAAGAAACTCCACCTGAGATCCTCTTGAAATACAGTGATCATCACACTATGCTACACGAACAGGGTTTACAATAATGGCTTCTTGCCTTTGGGTTAAAAATAATATCAGATCGTGATGTGAGATGCAGCACTCAAACTCATATGTGGAAACCAAATTTGGACAGAAGCAGGAGGATGGAGTTTATTTCAACTATGGATTTATTTCTGATAATACTGGTTTAAGGATTTGAAGAATTTCTGGCAGTTCTGTTAAACTGTTTATTTAGAGATAAGTGTTTCTCTTTCCCCAAGCAAAATGACAGGAAACATGAATCAAGACTGTTCAAAAACTAAAATAACAACTTCCTTTGTCCTTATGATAATGATAACATTTTTGGTTTTGTGACCTGAATGTGTATTTGTGGGTGTGTTTACTGTGTGCAATCCTTTTACAATGAATCATTATTTTGATGCAATATTTTACATAAAGCCAACAGTTGATCTTTTGTTTAATTTCTTTTGTTGTCAACAGGATTAGGAAGAAGAGAGGAAAACTGAAAAACACGTAAGAAGAATAAATAAAGTAAATGTTTTACAGGAAATCAGATATTCTCTGGATGTTCTGCTGCAGTTAATTTCCAGTAAACACAGCAGAGTATGATGGGAATGGAGATAGTTATGGTGAAAGAAAAATTTCAATAATGTGCTTTCATTCTTTGACTGTCTTTCCAGGAAACAGGCAAGTTGCTTCAGCCTCCTTCAAATGGCAACAAGTGCACTAAATTTTTTATCTCTTAGTGATAACCCAAATGTGCAACTCCACATACCAAGATGTTCTGAGTTTCAATACTATTATGGGTCACAAGGCCCATCCATCACTCTGTCTGGACCACAAAAAGTCTGTTATCGGCACCATATGGAGGTTTAAGATTCTCCCACATTAAAGCATCCCTAAACTGACAATCAAGATCTCTCCTCTCTATACCATCCATTGCCAAAGAACTTTATTTTTCTATTGTGAAAAGATTCCAAAAAACATACTAATTTAAAATAA